GGTCTTCAGTCCCTGAAAACCAGAGCCCATTTGCAGCTGCTGTGACAAATGTTGGGGAACGATAGGGAGGAAAGGAGAAGAAATGGATTCCCCTTGGTAGAGTTCGGAGAAAAGAGGCGGGGTCATCAGGGGAGAGAAGGGACACCTGAGCTGTGACTGGACCTATGAGCGAGGTTTGCCACCCTAAAAAACAACAAACAAAAAGTGAGGAGGGCATCCCAGCATTCTGATGCCAGTGCAGGGTGACGGGGGGCCGGCAGGGGTGCATGGTCGGGCTGGGGGAGCGTCTCTGAGGGCTGTGCTCAGGCCTTTGGACTTTGTGCGCTAGGCAGTGGGCGCAGCTGAAGCGCGGTGCGCCTGGGGGGTGCTCTCCGACTGTACTTTGGAGAGCGAAGGCAAGAGAGAGGAGCCAGGCGAGGTCAGGAAGAGCACAGGCAAAACAGTGGTATTGTTTTCTGGGGCACCTCACGATCCACGTGTGAAAACTCGGTGGAAAGGTGCTGGAGCTGCCACCTCGTTGTTTCCCAGGGTCATAGGGCACGGACAGTGGGGAGGACGGAGCCTCACAGGCCGGTGTTGCCCTGCTCCCCATCAGCCAGGCAGGCTGTGACCTAAGGACAGGCCTGATGAGGCCTGTCGCTTCCCCTTTGGTTCTGCCGGATCCCCAGCCTCTGTAAGATACTGCCTCCTTGAAGCTGAAACACAAAAACACATTTGCAAAGGATAAAACTTTGAGTTTCTCCAACTCCCCCACAGCCGCCCCCACCAGTTTATTTGGGAGGGGGGAGTGGGCAGTGGAGTGTAGAGTGGCCAAAAACCCGGGCTGCTGTGCCGGGCTGTGGCTAGGTTTGAGTCCTAGCTCTGGAGCTTACAAGTGCTTGGGATAATTTAATTCATTTTAACGGGCTTCAGCTTCCTGCTCCATAAAATGGGAAGGGTAATTTTTACCTTAGAGGGTCATTGTGAATTAATAACATATGTTACATGCCTGGAAGATAGTAGGCATTTGGTAACCAGTAGGTATTGTTTATTCGTTAAATTAAATTAGTTTTATTAATTAAAAACTCACTCTTATTTCATCGGCAGCTTTGCAAATAATAGTCTGAGGCTCTGAAGGAACACCCCACAGACGCACTGGATATGGCTATTTAAATTGCTCGTGTTGTCTGGGATAATGGGGTGCTTAAGTCCCCGTAACTCACATTCTTGAGTGGCCATGTCACGGAGTGGTATGAAACAGCTTGCACTGGTGCCAAAAGGAAAGCTGGGGGACCCAAATCTCAAAGGCAGGTGGCAGGGCCTGATAACCTGCAAAAGGGAAGAGATGCACAGGCCAAAATAGCCCTTCCTCCTGCAGGTGGGCACAAAACAATATCATTTAAGCAGGGTGGGGTTCACACACACAGGGGAAAGGACAACAGAAGTCAAGAATAAGTAGATGGGAAATGGGTGGAGCTCAGTTTTCAGTCCTGCTAAAAACACGAGAGCTTATTTTACCCTTCATAATCTTCGCATTATTATGCAGCTGTTGACATGTTTCGTCAGGTTTTGAAGAATAATGTTTGCTTTCTAAATGTTTGTTTCCCTTTGGTGAATAAGGAATGAGAAGAGTTTGGTCAACCCCTACAGCTTGTCAGGATTGTTAAGAGATAGAATATCTTCTCCTTTTGCTCCTCTGGACATACTTCCCCGCCCAGCTTTTGTTAAAACAGGGGACAAGATAGTGCTCTACTGAGAATCCTACAGATTGGATGAGTTGAGGCGGACTTTGCCTTAGAGATGTTTACTAAGCTGTGGGTGCATTTCACTAAAGTCCAGATTCTTCCCTTATTCCTTTGTTTATTTAGTCCAGTGACTTTTATTTTTCTTTCTATTTGGGAGGGGGAAATTGGTTTACAATCCAATTGTAAGGATATAGTCTCTGTATTTGATGGTTACAAAAAATGTGGTGCTAGAAATGTGAGTTAATAATCATCATGATCACCCTGTGTGTCATTTTGGCCTTTTTTTTTTTTTTTTTTTTTTTTTTTGTCCTTAGTTCTCCCTTTGATTTTTTAAACTTTCCAGTGACTTGCTATCAACTCTAGAAAATGGATCCAGGAGTGTGGCCTTTCGGTGGCCTTTCCCTTTTAGTTCCCAGGTAGCCACTGAAGGGCTGTGGCACTGCCTGGAGAGGAGGGAGCGCGTCTTATTCATCTCTGTCCCCAGCTCCTAGCACAGAACAGAATGGAACAAGGGGGTGACGTAACTCATCCTTTATTTTAAGAAGATAAATCTGGCAAGGAAGAGTGGGATGACAAGAACAGGGAAAGACTGCTGGCATGGAGACCAGTGTGGCTGTCATTGGAATAATACCAAAAAAAGGCAGTAAGATTATGAATGAGGGAGCAGCCCTGGGGAAGGGAAAGCGATGAATGCGAAAGCAAGGGAGGAAGAGCGAGTCTCTGGGCCTCGAGGGCCACGTGCAGGCAGCGAGGGGTGCCAGGGCCTCGGATGAATATCTGTCTATGGAGCAGGTATTTCCTGAGCACCCTCTGTGTGCCAAGAACTATGCTGGAGGCTGGACTACAACAGTGAATGAGGCAAATAAGGGGTGTGCTCTCATGGAGCTTATATTCTTGTCGGAGGATGTATCAGTCAGGGTTCTCCAGAGAACTAGAACGTAACACTGCGTATTTTCAAGGAAGTGCCTTACATCATTGTAGGGGCTGGCAAGTCTGAAGTCTGCAGGGCAGGTCTACAAGCCGGGAGCTCCAAGCAGGAGCTGATGCTGCCTCCTTGAGGCAGAGTGTCTCCTCTTATAAAGCTTTTGCTCTTAAAAACTTTTAACAGGTTAAAATAGACCCACCTAGATTATTTGGTATAATCTCCTTGATTTTAAGTGAACTGATGGTAGGTATTAATCACATTGACAGAATGCCCTAGATTAGCACTTAATTGAATCTCCTGGCCCAGTTGACACACAAAGCTAACCCTACCCTTCACAGAGGCTGTAAGAAAGACCTGTGCGTGGAGGGAAATCACTGAGGGAATGTTAGGGAATGAGGACTGACTACTGTGAGGACTCGGGGAAGTCTTCTCCATGCGGGTAGATGCTGTGCAGCTTACAGGAGAGGCAAATGATCCTTGGAGATATGAAATGACTTATTTAAGCCCAAATGGCTAGTGGTGGGCCCTGCCTTCATTCTGACTCAGCATGTGCTCAGCAGACACAGTAGAGCCTGCCTTCCAGGGACAGTCAAAGGGACCCAAACGGCTGACTTTGTTTCCAGGATGAACACCAGGTGGTGAGCAACTTCAGATTAGGAACTTGTTTCCCGAATGTAGAGCCTGAACATAGGGAGGGAGGAATTGCCCGGGACGACGGTGCAGGAGGCCGTGACTCCATCCATATGCAGTCTCAGCCCCGCCCTCACTGCGCTGGGACGCCGCCTGGCCCCAGCTCTGGACTTCTGTTCAGCCGGGGGTTCCACCTCGGATGCCCTCCTTCCTCTCCCTCGCCCTTCATGTGGACAAGTCTGGGCAGCCCTCAGGGCTTAGCTTTGGCATTTCATCAGGCAAACTCTCCTCCTTATAATCCTCCCAACTCCCTGCTCTTCTAATGTGGTACTTAGCACCGTTGTCATTAAGCAGTTTATATATATATTATTATTTTATTAATGTCTGCCTCTGCTATCATACTTGCTAAAGAAAGGAGCCAGATCTCTATCCTGCCGACTCCCAGCGATGAGCACAGCTCTTGGCAGACACTCCCTCTTGGATGAACGTATGGATGAGGGAATAAATGGAGGCAATACGTACCTTCCAAGCAGCACATCTGCAGCGCATCCTAAACAATAATTTGCAAACACAATGACACATCCAGGTTGCCAACTCTCCTTTTTTCTAATTGCCAGTCTGATCATATCCCGTATATAGCTAATCCCATCCTTGGCACATGGGGACTTCCCAGTTCAATGTAAAAGGTGGTCCCTTCCGGCACGCTTCTCTAATTGGGGAAGTCCTTTTTAAGCATTTGGCCTAAAGCCCTCTGACACAAAGAACATTGTGAGAACTGCTAGGAAGGAGAAGAGGAGGGTGTGAGGAGAAAGCAGGAGCACTCCGAGGGCTGGGCACCCCCAAGGAGAGGATCAGGAGTGGACGGACTCTCCCAAGGAAGCCGGAGCACTTAAGACAGGCGGTTGCCTCTCTTCTTGCCCCAGGCAGGAACTTCCGACTGCTCCTGCCCCTGCACTGGAGTCTTGTGGGCGAGGAGACAAGCTTCTGACTCCAGCGGTCTCTGATATGTCTGGGTGCGCTCCCGAGAGCCAAGTTGAGAGAAGTTCCCTCAGGAGCCCTCCCACGTCTACCAGACGCCCCCCTTATCCAGCCACTCAGATGAAGGCTCAAGGACTGGCCTGGGGGGGTGGGGAGATGGCAGCGCATTCAGCACGTCAGCTGTACAAACAGTAAAGGTTACAGCACCTTTCACTCTGGCTTCTGGTTTGACAACCAGCAGCCGTAACAACTTAAAAGGTCACTTGCATTGTTCGATGCTTCCGGGAGCTCTTCTGCCCTTTCTGTTAGACCCCGAATATTAATGGAAATGAGCCTTTCTTTTGCAGCTGTTTTCCAACTGTGAGAAAAGAAATGCTGGCATTATGTAAATGTAACATCTATCAAGTTATCCTGAAAGGCCTGTGCAAGTTTCTCTCCTTGTATTCTTTCCAGTAAACATTCTTCCTAGTGAGAAAGAGGAAAATCTCTCTCCTTCTACATGCTCTACATTTTCTGAAACTTGGACTCATGTAAGGACCCTCCTGGGATCCAGACAAGTTTCGGCTGCATTGCCACAAGGGATAACAGGAAGCACATTGGCGCAGGTGTCAGGAGACGGAGGTTCGATTCTCGTCTCTGCCGCCAAGCGAGCAGCACCGTGACCTTGGACAAGTGTCTGGGCGGTAGTGGACTAGGGAGTCTTGCAGTTGCCGCCGCTCTAAGATGTATGGTTCTCATTGCAGGCATCTTTTCCACAAGTCCTGTGTTGACCCCTGGCTCCTAGACCACCGCACCTGCCCCATGTGCAAGATGAACATTCTTAAAGCCCTAGGGATCCCGGTAAGCACAGCACAGCCTACAGCATCGTAATGTCTGTCTTTCTACGTTACCCCCAAAGACGGGAGAAAACCTCACACCTGGCTTTTCTCTGTCCCCTTGATCCCATAGCAGTGGTGTCACCCGATGAGGTGTAGAGAACTCCCAGGTCTGAAAACAGTTCCCCTCTCCCATTTTCCCAGTCGGAGAACATCATGCCCTCCTCCCCAGGCCCACTGTGTTTGTCTGTGAGCCCCAGCACTGCCTGTGCAGCCCACGGGCTTCCCATCCAGGACGCAGTGTGCGGGGGCAGGCGGGACACCAGCAGAGGCTCGAGGACCGGCCGTGCATTGGTGTCCTCTTGTGTCATTGCCCCTGCGCTGTCATCACCGAGTTCTGCAGGCCACGCTGTCTGATTGTGCCCCGGTCCCCTGGTGTCCCCTGGAAACACGCTCTTCCCAACCCTGGGAGGGGAGGACAGCTGCTGGGGACCTGGCTCAGAGCCTCTGCTGACCTCAGGTCTCTGCAGAGACCCTTGAGTGAGCTGGAAACCAGAGCCAGAGCCACTTAATTCTAGTGTGACCATCCAGCTGGTGCCTCCCTTGTATGTTTTATCAAACTGAATCCGTCCACCAGGGCAAAGAGAATCCCACCAGCTGGCTAGTGGTCCCAGCAAGAGAAGCCCCAGGTCCCCAGCAAGAGAAGCCCACTTGGCTGGCAAGACACCGCCTGCTGTGGGAGGGCGGGAAGCCAGCCAGGCCACCCAATCCCAGGGCCGCACAGAGAGATGTCAGCACAGCCCAGGCACTGGCTAAGAGAACCCGGCCAAACAGGATGCAGAAAGCGGCCTCGCCCCGCCCCCTCCAGTGTGCTGCCCCGTCCCCCGGGCCACTCCTCACTGCACTAATGGCAGAGAATAAAGGGAATGAGAATAGTCCCAAGATGTCACTGAAGCAGGAAGGATCAGATCAGATATCAAAGGTTTTCTCTCACGCCAAAGGGCGAATCATTCGAGGACTGTCGGAGTGACTCTGTCGCAGAGGGCGCACCTGAAGCATTATGAGGTCGTGCACCGGCTCAGTTTTCTCCCCTGGACCAGCTGCCTGTGTGCCAACTGTATACCGATTTTCAAGGTTGATACACCAGACTCAGATCCACTTGTGAGACTTTAGCTTTGCGCTAGATTTTGAAAGGCAATGCGTTACATTTCAGACCAGAGTTGTAAATGCATCACGCATTCAAGGTGAAAATCAATTACTGTGAACATACTGCATTAGTAAAAACCCAACATTTCTACCAGATGCTAGTGACTTAGAAAATGGACTCGATGTTTGCACTTTTCACTGGCTGTCTCTGGTTCTTACAAGGAAGGAGGAAATTGTGTGTGCTTGCACGTGTTTGTGTGTGTATGTGTATCTTTGGTGTCCAAAGTCTTTAGAATACACACTCACAATTAGAGGTAAATGGGCACATCACTTGACCTAGTTCCTATTGCTCAGGATATTTTCAAAGCTCCTCAGTATCGATTCCAAGGCTCCTTGGTCAGGACAGTGAAACCAGATTTTGTACTAAATAGCATATAACTCCAGTCTTTTCATGGGAAGAAATAACTTCTCCAGAAGCTACCCTGTAAATGAGTTGAAAATACAGCTATCAATTATTTTGAATTAATGGATGGCCATTTGGCTTATGTCCAAAACTATAACATTGTAACTTCTAGCAGCTGTGCCTTCTAGCCAGGGTTTAAACCCATCAAGTCTGGGTAGAAGTGTACTTAGCACATTTGAGTTCCAGAAAAATAAACATCAGTAGTGTCTTTTGGATTTTGCCAAGTAGTCTCAAAGGCCAGCCAATCAGGAGCATGACATGCCTCTGAGCTCACCCCAGAGGACAGAGCACCCTCCTGAGGCGGCATGTGGGCACAGCCAGTGGTCAGGAGCACCCAGTCCCGTGGCCTTCCGCACCTGCCCAAGGTTTCTCTGGTTTTGTCTGGGAGGATGATACTGAAGGCTGCATCTGGGAGGAATTTTGGATGTTGTTTCCACTCCATCCTCCGTCTTTGGGTAGCACCAGGCTCAAATTATACCAAAGAGGTGATGTTTTTTTCACTCCATGCTGAGAACTTTCCATGCCACTGGCATGAGACCGTGTCATGTGTCCATGTCACAGGCTCACAGCCCTCTCAACTAGAAAGCACTTCCTAGAGCTAACCGAAGCCTTTTTTATGAAGCTTAGAGAATTCTTTTACCACCTTCGTAAACCCCTGCGCGCCAGTTCTTCATCAAGGAACATTGAAAAGAGCCTGTCTCTTTCTCTGATAAGTGGTGCCTGCTGGTCCTTCCTCTCAGTTGCCTTGCATGTGCTCGGTGCTCTGTGAACGTGCGTGACATTGCAGCCCGTCGCTGTCAGAAGCTGCTGGTCACAGAACCGGATTTATGAAATCCACCCTGGTCTTCCTCTGAACAAGGTCCACTCACCAGCGACTTGGTTGTAATTCTGATCTGCCGAATAGTGCAAACACAGACGGCAAGGATTTTTTGTTTGTTTTGTTTTCGTTGTGTTAAACTGAATGACCCTGTGGCAGCCTGTGCTATAAGGCAAATAAATTTAAGTTGAAAGCTAAGAGCTGGAAACATTTTCATTGTGTAAGGGGGTGTCTCTAAAATGAACGAGAGAATGAGAGCACAACCCAGGGCTCAGGAAACTCCCATTACAAGAGGTAACTTCTTTCGTATATTTTCATGCTATTTTGCCAGAAGAAATAAGATACTGAATCGAAAGGGAAGGGGGAGAGGGGTCCTTTATCATCAGAAGTGTTTTCGTCTCTGCCTACATTATATTGCTTCTCCTCCTTTCTTTCCAGTCAGGTCTAGGTGTGTCTTTGTAAGGTGACAGAACACAGGTTTTGGTGAATACGCCTATGAGGTACCAAATAAACTGGGTTTTTATATCGCAGCAAACACCTCCCATCACTGTTATCCAGTACAAATAGTGTGACTGAATAGAAAAGCCTGTGTAGCTGGTGTATTCACAAACCCCTAACTACTTGGCAGTTGGTTTACGTGAGGAATTTCCACATGCTACCCTGAATTTGAATAGCTATACCTTGTTCATATACAAATAGTATTTAACATCTTTTACCAAAAGACATTATAACTGTAATTTCCCTTAGAGGGCTATAAATTGGGTTTCTTTTCAAAATATGCTATTTGATGAACTATTTAGAGGAGATATAAACCGTGAGGTGCAGTAAGGTTGGTGTATTAAATATTACCATATATTTAACCCGAATTATTTATGTCTGCTAACACTCAGTCTCATTGAGCTAATTCCTTTTCCTGCTGTTAAAAATATAATACCGTGCCTGCTAGGCCACAAAGTAAAGGCAAACATCCTGCATCAGAATTAATAACAATGTTTTTAAATAAAAGAACAATATCAACAAGCAAACAACAGTTGAAATGTGCATCAGTTGTTACGACATACACAATGGCATTCAGATGTGTGTGCCTGAAAGAACAACCACACACAATCCTCACTGAGAACCCTGTCCCTTGCTGCAAGCCCACACGATGGGTTTGGCTTAGAAGCATCCTTACATAGTGTAAAGGGGGAGGGAATTACTTTTCCTCCTATCCTCCTAGGTTCTCCAGCCACGGCCCTATAAATTAGACTCATAAAAGATTAACAAGAGAAAATCAAACCAAAGTTTATTATCACATGCATTGTACATACACATGGGAACACTTAGTGATGAGTAACTCAAAGGAGTAGTTAGAGCTTGAGCTTATATAGCATCTTCAAAAATGAACAATAAAGTTTTAGAGAAGTAATAAGACAAAAGAAAAAGACTTTGCGTTTCTAGAACAGCACATCCTGAGGAGGTAAATAGATGGGAGAAACTAACGTCAGGTCAGGTTGTGTTAGTAAGGTTTGTTTGTACAGATCCATTTCAGAGTGGATTCCCAGTCACTAATGATGATGATAATGTTCTTCTCTTCCTGGTACAAAGAGGGATGTACTTTTGCACATTTATGTCCTGCTTTTAGGCACATGGGGGGAGAACAGAGAGCATTTCTTTGTCTGCTTCTCAGTTGGTACAGCTCAAAATAATCCTTATGCCAATGTAGCAGATTGTGTGGTGGCTTCTCCTGCTACCCTTCAATAGCATGCCTTACCTTTGCACAGAATTTTTCAGTTTTTAAAGTATTTTCTCCAAATCCTCCCCTAATCTAGAGCAGATTCTAATGTTCCTTAGTCTTCAGAGCAGTAAACTGAGACTCCAATAAAATGTTCAAATCAGTGTTTACTGACCAGTTAATAATTGTCAGGCAGTATGTGGAGTCTTGGAATTCAAGGGCAATGTAATGTATTGTATAGTTGAGTCACTTTAAAAAGCTTGTGTCTCACATGCATGTGGAATCTTAGAAAAATGCACTCATAGAAACAGAGGAAATGTAGATGGTTGCTAGAGGCGGTGGGGGGCGGGGACAAAATGTATGAAGGTGGTCGAAAGGTACAAACATCCAATTATAAGATAAATAAGTTTCTGGGAATACAGTGTGCAGCATAGTGACTCTAGTTAATAATACTGCTTTGTATATATGAAAAAGTTCTCATCACAAGAAAAAAATGTAACTATGTGAGGTGATGGGTGTTAACTAACCAGATTATGGTAATCATTTGGCAATATATGCATATATCAAATCATCATGTTGTGCATCTTAAGCTAATATAATATTACATGTTAATCACACCTTAATAGAACTGGAAATTTTTTTTTAAATGGAGACTAGTAGAGTGAGACAAACACAGTGACCAATGACCATAACAGCATGGGAGAAGTATAAATAGGGTGTTAGAGTACTGAAGGTGACTCCCTGGCAGACAACGCTACTTAGAAAAGGTGACACTTGAGGGGTGATTAGGAGCTCACCAGGAGGGTTCGTGGGAGACCTTGCGATGGGGAAGGGGAGCAGGGTGATTGGGGCAAATGCCACCCTTAGTAGAGGAACAGCAGGAGCTAAAGTTCTAAAATAGGGAATAGATGGTGTCAGGTGTGTTCCCAAAGGCTGAAGGTGAGGCCAGAAACAGAGGCTGGGGCGAGGCTGCAGAGCGCCTTGTTGCCATTCTAAGATTGTAATTCACTCTTCAGGAGAAAAGAAGAGATGAGCATCACTGTGTTTTTGAAAAAGAGTGCTCTAGTGAGAGAGTGGAGAATGGGATATACTGGGGAGGAAATGATAGGCGGATTAGGAGACCAGTGAGCGGGGAGCAACGCTCCTAACAACTGCTCTCGCCTAACGCCGCAATCAGTGAACTTGGTGGGTCGGTCATTCCCTGGATTGACTTTCAACAACCTGAGTTTAAATGAATTGACTCACTTCCAAGAGGGACGAAGAAGCAAAAAGAAAGGAGAATACAGAAAAAAGGGGGAATGAGCTGAGTTTGAGCTTTTCGGGGGGTGATGGTGTTTTCCAGCTGACAGTGGGAAACGCAGGTGCGGGGCTCGGGAGGCTGGTTTAAGAACAGAAAACAAGGACAAGAGTCCAGCAGCGTGAATGTCTTGCTTTGTGCTCCCAGTGAGTCCGTGAGCTGTAGACCTTCCCTTTCCATGCACTTTTAATGCAACACAGTCAGTGCCAACCCAGTCCTGCCCACCCTGGTCTTTGTCCGTTGGGAGGGCAAAGCCACTTCGTTATCGTCCCTCGAGGCAATGCTGATGTTCAGACCAGAACAAACATAATGATAATAGTAATAATAATACGTAATAGCTACTTGTAGTATTTCCCAAGCCCATCTCTCTCCCACAGCACCTCTTTTATGAGTTTGGGTAGAGATATAACTGAAAGCCATTTTAAAAGCTGCTTATACAAGAGATATAGGTATGGTCAACATCACTTCAAACAGCAGAACTAAGACCAAAGAATAAAACTCGCCACGTTGCCCAATAATGGAATTATCTAAAGAAACTGAGTGGCACAGGCTGCCTTGCAGAGCAGGGATCTCCCATTTCTATATTCACGTGGACGCTTGGGGGAAGGGTCCTGCAGCAAGTGGGCAGTTACACGCGATGGTCTCACCCCAGCGTTATGATTCTAAGACCTTCATGTAGAGGACTTGACAAATGTCTCATCATGTGCATGTTAAGAAAATAGGGGTTTGTTTCTATAGCTAGTTTTTGGCTTACATTTAACCACAACAACAACAAAACAATCACCTCGCCCTGTGCTTCATGTGTTTGTGTGTGTACCTGGTAAACAATTCACCGTGAGTCAGGTTCTGTCCCTCTCTCATGTCATCAGTGTATTTGAAATAATTCGTGGGTCACTGGGGGTCATTATCACACTGTCAGCTAGTTCCTCGATGAGAAATAAACCCTCTGTGTGAGGAAGGGCTGCAACTATAAATAAGTATCATGTTACCACTCCTAGTAATTATATGAATGTATGGATATAGCTACTCCTAGAATTAAAACTTCGATCTATATCTAAATGGAACCTTTGGAAAGGAAATCTTGGAAGATGTTTTTACATTCATTACAGAAGTTTATGTGGGATTTTTTTTTTTAAATAAAATGGTTCAGGAAGAAAGCTGTAAAGAACTTAGTTTTCCAGCAAGACAAAGTCTGTAGGCTGTAGACATTTCGCCTCTAACTTGATGACACACACTAAGAATAGACCTTTTTCTGCCCCTGTCAGCCCAATGCCGACTGCATGGACGACTTGCCCACCGACTTCGAGGGATCTCTGGGAGGCCCCCCCACCAACCAGATCACAGGCGCAAGCGACACAACCGTGAACGAAAGTTCAGTCACTTTGGACCCTGCTGTCCGGACTGTGGGAGCCTTGCAGGTGGTCCAGGATTCAGATCCCGCCCCGCAGGAGGGAGAAGTCATCTTTTCTACCAACAGTAAGTTCGGTGCTCAATCGTGTGGCCTTCAAAAGGGCTGTGGCCCTATGGGAGTTGGAAAAAGCTCCTTTACCTCAAGAGGACAAAAAAAAATTGCCAGGTTAAACGGTTACACCTGTTAGGTCTTTAGAGGCCCAGCTGTTTCCAGAGCCCGCGGGGCGGAAGGCACGCCTGGCCCTGCCTTGCTTGCCCAAGGGCAGGCACAGCTCTGCACACACCCCGTGCTACCTGAAGCAGGGAGGGCGGCGGGCGACCTCGAGAACGGAGGGCAGGTGAGAAAAGCAGCCGCAGGGGATGCTCCCTGGGACTGGGGCCGGGCGCAGCCCCCCCACCCCTGTGGGTGTGTGCACGTGCGTGTGCATTCCTGAGCGTGCTAGTCCGGAGTGCCTGCCGGAGGGGGCTCCCCCAGCCATGGCCGCAGGACTCCAATGGAAATGGCACCCCTTTCGATGGGCATTTTCCCAGGACAACCTCAACCCCTGCATACATGTCATAGCAAAATACCTTTGCGGCTTCTCCCCATCTCCTGTATCGGCTCTAATTCAGTACTGTCCTGTTTGACGTTAGTTATAAAAATAGTAAAGTAGCCGTTATCAGCATCAAGATTGAAGCAAAAATCTGAAGCATTTATGCCTAAGTCTAATGCAGTAGAGAAAAGGGCTTCAGGAGTTCTAAGAAAATCAGCCTGCAAATTAACGTAGGTTGAAGGTTAAAAGTGTGGGTGGGTGTTGCAATTTTTAAATAAGGAGTATTTTGTCCCGTGATAGAAATAACTGGTTCACTAGAGAAATTTAGAAATACAGAAAAGCAGATTAAAGCATTTTGGGATATTTCCTTCTAAGTTGACCTTTTAAAAAACATATTTGTGATGTTTAGATAATTTAGAAAATCATTCAAGCTGAAATGTAAACAGATACATTTTTCTAATGAAGAAACATACGGTTCTCATTGTTCAAAGAGTGAGAGCTGAAGGAAAGAATTTTAAAAATTCAAAAAGCACTCAGTACCCCATTTCCCAGTAATAATCACTCTTAACATTTTGGTGTATTTCCTGATCATCAGTTACGATATGAATACCATAGTGGCTGACCGTTGAGTTATTGTAACCACAGAACTTTAACAGGACCTAGACAGAAAGCCACTTCAAGAAAAACTTGGTGACAAATATCTGCCCCTGCAAGGTTTATTAGTTTGAGGTAGCTATGTATTTTAACTTGACTTTTAGAGGCACAAGGACCACAATATTGAAACGCTAACTATGTGGCATTAAAAGCCCTTAAAGGTAGGTGTTGATCCCTTTGTCTTGAAGGGTTGGAGCAGGGCTGTCCAATATTAATAATGCAAGCCATAAAAGCAGCTCTGAGTTTTCTATGGCCACATTAAAAAATGGGTGAAGTTCATTCTAATAATATTTTAACCTAATATATCCAAAATAGTCTACATTTTTTTTTGCACTACCTCAAACTGTGGTGAATGTCTCACACTCACAGCACATCTCAGTTGCTCTAGCCACGTTTTGAGTGCCGGGAGCCACACATGGCTCATAGCTCCACATCAGAGGACACATGTTTAGAATCCTAGTCATATATGGATGGAAGAACTGTGAAGGCTGTTTAGTTTTTACCATGATAAACATCTCGATTTTACCACAGGAAACTATGGCCCAGAAGAGTAAGTGGCTGAGTCAGGTCAAAGAATAACTTCTCTTTTCAAAGCACAAGACTGTCCCGTGTTTCCAGCTATTGGACATCTTCCACTGCCACCAGATATATCACCATTAGTGGCCTGTGCAAAGGCCATTGGAAGGCCTGATAAAATTTCCTAGCAGCTCCAAACCCTTGAAGGCACGAGCCTTTTCTGAGCCCATGAGAAGAACCAAGTCAAAAAATGCATTATTTTCCTTGAGATAAACTGATTTTTTAATATTCACAAGAAAATATATCTTCTGTTAGATTCCTTATTTTGAAAAGTGACTACATACTTCAGACATCTCCGTAAAGCCAAGACAACAAATGAAAAGGCACAACATGTGGATTAAAAGACACCCAAAGACAAAATGGAAAAGTATGGTCAGTATCCATATAAGTCATAATCCGTAAATTGATTTTACCTGAGATGGTCTCCAAGCGTTTCGTTCATAGCAGGCGTCCAGCGGATGTTGATGGCATGACCCGAGGTGAGAGTTCGATCTAAACTGGAAGTAATAGGCGCCTCCATAGCCCAGTAGGCAGCACGTCAGTGTCATAAACTTGAAGCAAGGAGTCCTGTTCACAACAAAAGGGAAAATGCCAGGTAATTCCAAAGGAAGGTACTGGTAGAGACCAAGAGACAAGAGGAATGTGATCGCATCTGCAGTCTGAAGACTGATGGCACATACGCATTTGGCCAGAGAGATCAGTCTTATAGTATAGCAACTGAATTTTTCACGACGTATTTTTTTTCTAGACCATATATCTGTGATTGGTTTTATTTCTGGGGATTTAACAGAATAGTCCCAACATAATCATTCTGATTGGGTGTCAGTGGTTCATACCATTAACCAAATGACTGTAGATCCTTTAAGGGAAAAATTCTCTGCTCTCTACAGGTTTGTAAATTGCCTTGTGCCCTAACTCCAATAAATAATCAATAAGTGAACAATCACAGGCACATCAATAAATGGATGGAGAAATTCAAGTTCTCATCAACATTATTGTAACCAACTCTCTAATGCTACCTTAAAAAAATGTGCATGGAGAAATAAGTGTAGTTGGGATAACATATTTCTACAAATCACAAATAAATAACCCATTGGAGGCTGGACCTGACTTTTCTTTTCACATTATCTTTTCCCACCTCACATTTCTACAGACCCCCAAAATTACTATAAAATGAGGAAATAAGAGTAGCTAAAGAATATATAATATGAACTATGCACCAGGCACCCTTTAAACCCTCTTACTATGTTAGCTCACAACAACTCTTTGGTAAATATTATTTTTATCCTCGCCTTAACTGATGCAGGAACAAAGGCACAGAGAGCTCTATTCTGGTCCAAAGTCATCAGCTAGTGGCAGGTAGAGCTGGATTCCGAGGAGTCGTTGGCCCCAGAGCCCCATGCGTAAGTGCTCTGTGCCCAAAGGGGAACTTGGGGAGAAAATGGGCAGTGGCTCCCTCCCCTCTCATTTCATTTGTGTCTTCTTTCCCTCCATTTCTCTAAACCTCTGAACGATGAAATCTGTGTGTAGTCCCTACTTGAATTCTCCTTCATCCCTACTTCTGTTCTTTCTTTCCTGGCAAAGACTATGGGCGTGCATCGGTCAAATGCATGTAAAAGTCATCTCAGCACTCGAGGGGGTAGGCAGAGAGTGTGGAACAGATTGTCTTTAGAGTGAAGATGGGAAAATCTGGCATTAAATTAGCATCATCTTCAGCTCCCAGGAAAAGCAAAAAGGAAAGGCATTTACATAGCAAAGGAACTCCAAACATGTTGTGAAGTCTGACATTTGAGAAAAAGACATTCTATATGCCTATCTGTAATGTTTCTGACATTTCACCTTCTATAACCTCACATGGCAGTCCCAAATTACACAGTGCAAGAAGTCGTTTGTACGAATGTCCAGGTGTCACTCACCTGTCCTTATCTACCTGGCTAATTGCACCAAATGCCCACTTTGCTTTCTGATTCCCTACCCCGGGCTGCGGGTGTTGGATTTGCTTCAGCAGCGGAAAAAGGTCCTTACGATCAAAGGAACACACAGCTAACCAAACTGCCCTGGGTATTTGGAGACTCCAGAAAGGAGCTAGAGAAAGATGCTAAGGAAACACAAAGGGAAGAAGTGGAGGGCAGAGGGAGCTAGGAGCTGGAAGGAGACCTGAAGATGGGACAGAATCAAGATGCCTCAAATATGTCCAAATACACTGTGCACTGTGAGGAGCACATGGCATAAAGGGTTTGGCCAGAAGAAGGCCTGGTCTTCAGGTTTTATAGAAGGAAGCGGTGCACATGAATTATTGCTAAAACTTGGCCAGTTGAAATGAAATGTGGTATGGGATTCCTCTGAGAAACTCCCTTTGCTAACTGCCTATCAATGCTAATCCTTGGGGGCACAGGGCACATCTCGCATGTTGAGCAAATACCCTTTGCTACGTATTCAAACGCCTCTCCATGCTTGCTGCACTGCCATGCCCGTGTTGAACGGCTGTAATATCCCCCATACTCTGAATGAAAATTCCAGGAAGAATTTTCTGCTCACTCTGAGGTAGCTGACAGTTCCAAGAGTCCCTTTAGGTTCCAAACACAGACTATAGAATTTATTTCCCGCAGAACCCTGTCCCTTGCGGCAGTTCCCGTGACTGGGGACAGTCGGGTCTCTATCCTTACTCAGAAAGCTCCTTGCAGCCCCGAGGCGCCCTGCAGTCTGTCTGCAGCCTCTGCCCAATGAAGTGCCTCGCCCCCCAGGAGGGCCTTTGGAGAGGGCCCGAGTGGAGCGCAGTCCTGCTCGCTGCCCCACGTGGCCAGCTCCAGGCACTCACCCGTCACCTGCCCCAACAGTCCTCTCCAATTAGGCAGCCATTCTCTGGCCCCTGACCTTCGCCCCGCCCTTCCGAGGCCATCACCTCCTCCCTCCAGACACCAGGCTGGAAGGACTCCTGAGTCTGCAGTCTGTCTGCTTTAGCTTTTCTAAGGCCGGAGTCATCTCTCCCTGAGTCCCACCTATAGGGAACATAGTTCACCCAGCGGGGGGGTGGTTCCCACACTGGCTGTGGGCCTGGGGCGTCCTTCCCCACCCCTTTGGATACGGGGGGTGGATTCAGCATGACAGTACTTTCTCCACAGATAATCTCCTTTTTAAAAATTTTTTATATTGTTTTTCAGTTACAGTTGTCCCCATTTTTCCCCCATCCACAAATAATCTCTTGGCCAATTTCCCCAGTTTCCTCTCCCTCTCTCTCCTTTTTATGGTCACCAAATGGGTAATGGGGTCAAGAATCACAGAACTGGTACCCCTTCCCATCCA